CGAAATAACACTTTTTCTTATTTTACATCACAACTAACACTTGAAACGATTAGCCTCGTCGATGAAAAAGATGAATTTGGTGAACATAGCGAAACATCTTCTCTATTTAACACAAATGGAATTTTCCTTTGAAGATTCAATAGCAAATGCTGATGATATTTTTGCTTCACAACAGTTATTCATTTAAAGATAGTTGCTTTAATGAACTACATACTTATCAAAGTCTCGATTTTCCCGATGAATACGATGAAGTTACGGACGAAGAAGACAGTGCTGATGAAAAAAAAATCAACCGATGAAGAAGAAAATATTGATGATTATGATGAAAATCAATACCTGGACATTCCGAATAATTTTACATTAGAAGAGATGGAAAATATAGTGGAATGGGTTGATCAACATCCAACATATAAATTTGCATCTATTAAGCAAAGGTTTCTAAAAGTTAAATATATGCATTATATTACAAGATTTAGAGAATATATTAAAACAAATGGCATAAGATTAGAAAAAGTTAAAAAAATCAAAGAATTTATGTGGAATGAATTTTATGTCAAAAGAGCAATTGAAAAAGAAGTAATGCATGATAGTGATCTGGAACTTTTTGCAATTCAAAAAGCAAGAGAACTAGATTGGGATAATTTCAAAGCAAGTGATTCATTTATCAAGCTGTTCAAGAAAGAATATCGAATTTCGTCAAGAAGATACAACAAACTTATTACTCGAGTTTCTTCAACCAGAAATATTTGTAGTTTACAAGGTATGTCAAACTTTTACTTTCGATTTGAATTTATATTCTAATGTGATATATATATATATATGGGTGAATCCATGGGAAACGTACCACCTTTCTGGAAAAGTGTTTTTTTACTTTTTTTTTTTTATTTTTCTATGTAGCACCGGATCAGAAAACAATTTTGGCCGAAAAAAATGTGTTACTTTTCCTTAAAAAACAAGAGATCCAATGCGTTTTTTAGGTACATCTAAAGGGGATCATCCAAGTTTTTCCAAGATTTAGAGCTCATATTTTGGTTCCTGGTAGCACATGATCAGACTAGCACAACCTCCAAAGGACTCCGTTTTTCCATGTACCTCTACTGGGATATCGTATTTTTAACTAGAACAACTTATGCATAATTTTGACCCAAAACGCTTTTTTCACCGGAAATACGAAGTAGTCGTTCTGGTTAAAAATAGGTGTGGGTGTTGGTGTGGGTTATTCTTCACTAATCACCCACACCCACACCCGCGACAATTCAAGCCGTCTCTGGAACAATGAAAAACATAGCAGTGAACATCAGGACAAAATCGATACGGTCTGCAAAGCGAAACTACAATAAAATCGAATACATTGATCAGTTTGTATTTCGTCTGAATGAACTTACGAAATGGAAACCACCAACTGGTGTATCGTTATCACTATGTTTGGTGTCAGCATCTAATTTTATATATTCATTATTGGTCTCTTTTCTACTAAAACATCGGCGCCAATCAGAAAAACTAAGGACAATCATAAATTCATTTTATTTTTCTTGAAGTTATTTATTTATCGAATAATACCTATTGGTTAAAAGTTGTTCCTTGTTTCGATGATCATCATTACTTAGGGCTGACCAAAAGTTCTAAGCCCTGTGTTTGAAGGACCTTGTCGGATAAGGTAACCTATTCAGGAATGAGAAACCAAGTATACCATATTGTAGAGCATTTTCAGGCGCATGGAATGGTATATAATAAATCCTGGTTTCATAAAACTTTGAAGGAATTCGAGCGAATTTACGGATGGACGACTACACACGTACAATCACATTCACCGATAGCCACACTGACGAGATGATCGAAGATGTTACGTATATAAGGTTTTAACCTGTCAAAAACTCTACAAAATCATATGTAAGAAAAAATATTTTACAAATACTTTCGACTAATATTGAAGACCACGATATTCAGTATCATATCATGCTTAGCTGTCGGTATCGATGTGAGCGTGTAGTCGTCTACCAGTAAATTGACTCTAGTTCCTTCAAAGTTTTTATGAAAACAGGATTTACTCTATACAATTCGATGCGTCTAAAAATGCTCTACCATATGGTATATTTGGTTTCTCATTCCTGAATAGGTTACCTTATCCGACAAGGTCTTTCAAACACAGGGCTTAGAACTTTTGGTTAGCCCTAAGTATCATCATCACCAATATACAATTTATTGAAGGCATTTAATAGAGGGTGTGTATCATTCATGCCGTATTTTCTAAACAAGACTACCACGAATAATATCGAATTGAAGCATGCAAGAACACCTTATTAGAGAGTAATTTGCAATGCTTGAATGACTGGTCAAACGTTTCTTTTTTTCTCTTCACGCATTCATAAAGTAAAAACACTTAAGCAGACAAATAATAACCTAATACTGAGAAAGCATTATAGCATGACGATGTTATCATTTCTTTCTATTTACATAGGCAGAGCATGAGTCGTATCTTCACCTGTTGTACAGAAATAAATAAAATAAAAACAGATGAAAATTATTGAAACTTCCTGAGAAATATAAATTGAAAGACGATACCCATCAGAAAAAGCTTCTAGAACAGTGTTCCAACGCCAAAATGAAGAGAAAAATGTTATTTATGCGTTTAAATGCATTTTGTTTGTTGCAATGCCTTTTTTCAATATAAAAGGCTACTTGAAAACACGTTGTGAATGCGTTTATGAGATAGACATCGTTACACTTCAACCAACGTCATTTAAAACATCGTTCGAATTCGTTATCTGTAATGGAATCGGACACATTTGCTTTTCATGTAATCAAACACAATTTTGTTCCGTTCTTGCACTTTAACGAAGTTCATAATGTGAATGAGTAGTGTTCATTCTGTGATGCGTATGTTCGTTAGTATGCATGTACATACGTTTTTTCCGTCGTTCGTTATAAAACGCAAGAAAATTAAATATGCGACATATACATAAACAACACAAGGTCCTTAATGGACACAAAATCATGATTGATCGTGTAATGTAATATAAATAATCACTTTTTACCACTGCAGTATTATTTTATCGTGAGCAACGATGATAAACTGCAGGAGAAGCATTGCCAGTATTCTCGGTATACGATGTTTACTACACTACTTGATGTCTCAACTGTAATGTCTTTCTTCTCTGCTCCTTCCTACATATTAGTGCCGGGGACAGTCCCGAATGTGCTTTTAAAAACTGTTCTTGACGAAATGTCCTCGTATTTTATTCCTTGAAAAAATCTCCTTTAGTTCAAATGTCCTTGGTAAAATGTTCATGAAAAATGGTCTTTTACGGTTAGGCCCTCCGAAAAAGATGTAGTCCACTTTTATAACCTCTTATCAGTAAAATATGAACAACGCTCAGTGATAATGTTAAAAATGCCATTTAATTTTATTATAGCGGACTGAATTTAATTTAATTTTTCATTCATATAAAAAAAAACAAGTAACGCTCGTCCGTGTGACTCGCTTGGCCCTCGACTGAATATTCGACTCTTTTGGTGCTATATACTGCTTGACAGTCTTCAACAAAGTTCGTATCTAACGTTTTAAAAAGAGTGTGTGTGTATGGACGTTGATATTAGCGTCAATCTCGTTATGCACAATGGCTATAGTAGATAACGTAAGAGATCTAATTGTCGTACTTTTTGATGATCGATTGGACTTTCTAATTTATTCTCTGTAATGTTAACATAGCAGTTATCTACCCCTGGAAAGCAAAAGTTGGACTTTGTATTTCGAATATATTTGCACTAAAGAAGTACATTTTAAAAATACAAATTACATATTCTGAAAGCCCGTGGAGTTCTCTATCATGTTGTATAATCATGCTTTTGTTTAGATCTATTCGTTACCGAAATAAATTGCATTCAACGAAGACACCCCTATATCGAGATTCCCAAAAATTTTATTTTTTTTCTCCAATNCTTATACCATTGGATAGAGCATAAAATTCTGCATCTAGCACCAGCAAAGAGGGGCACAGCACAGATGTATGCGCGAATCGGGACAGGAATTACATCTTATCCGAAGTCGTCACATGGAGGGAAAAGCGGGTTTTTGGTGGTAGACCCAATTTTTTGCTCGACGACCCCCGCCGAAGTTGTCACCATTCGATAGAGAATTAAATTCTGCATCCAGCACAACCAAGTAGGGAAACAGCACAGACGTAGGGACGAATCGGGACAGGAAATACGCGAATCTGGTGCTAAGATTACCGACGTTCGAAATTCTGTTATCATCATATTAGTTGAAGAGTGACCAAATACATTGAAAAATAGATCATCGTTTTTTCTATCACTAACTACATAAAAGAAAATTTCGTTCAGTTTTCTTTACCGAAATAATATAATATAATGGTACTACTTTTGAATTGCCCTAAGTATTGTAAAAGAATACGAGAACATAATCTTCTTGTAAAACTCAATTCAGTAAAAAAACTAAACAACCGTGTAATACTTAACAAAGAGAATGTATCATCATATATCTGTGGACGAATTGACTGTGGATCTAACTAGTCGGGATGCTATCATCAAATGAGGGTGTGGGTGGGTGTGGGTGTGGGGTGTGGTTGTGGGTATCAGTCCTCTTTTCACCAACATGCATTTCACACCCGTGCCCACACACCCTAAACATCTCATGAAAATGCACAAAGAAACTATGTGCTCAGTTTCATTGATGAATGGATTTTTGCATGATATAACTTATCAAATACACCTATACCCATACCCATCTTAAGATGATAGGCTGGCTGCCTTATCAAAAGACGAATAACAGAAAGTATTTACTCATTGTGGGCAGCGGCCTGAAAACGACTCGCACTTCTTTGTAATGTAGAAGTCGTCGTTTTGTTTTCATTTTTACTGCTTGAGATGTTCGCTTTTCAGGTTTCGCGCACAACACCATGCTTTGTTCTTATCATACTATTATTTTCTTATCTCTCTATTTGAGTAAAGTAAAAGACAACTTTCATTTCTAAAAGCTCATCATGGTGAAGCACATTGTTCTTATTTGTCCAACTCCAATGGACAAAAGCCAGTTGGCTCGCATTTCAGACCGTTTAAATGGGAAATATGAAATTGATATGATGGAGCTTACTGATCAAAGGACAGAATACGACGTACTTCAATTTATCGATCAATTGGTTATCAAATTAAAAGGCAAATCATTCGATGGGATATGCAGTGCAAGTGATTATCCTGGTATTCTTATTGCTGCTGCCTTAGTTCATGAATTGAAAATACCCATCGGATATAATTTATTAGGTACCTATCGTTGTTCACATAAATATTATTCACGACTCATACAATCACAATTAGTACCTGAAGCTTGTCCAAATTTTTTTGCACTTATCGATGAAAGTTCTTCGGAATTCACATTTCCCTATCCCATATTTGTCAAGCCAGTTAAGTCATGTTTGTCACAGAATGCACACCGTATTAATAACGCGGACGAATTGAAACAACTACTCAAAAATCCAAAAATTCAATCGCATCTTACTACATTTGTTCATCCATTTAATCAATTAATCGAACGCTATGTGCCGGCGAATGTATTCCAAACGAATGTAAGTTATATGTTAGCTGAAGAATTATTGAGTGGACATCAGTTTACGGTTGATGGCTATGTTGATGGTAACGGCGAAGTTACTATTCTCGGTATGACCGATACTATTATGGATTCAAATAAAGTTAGTTATCTACGTTTTGATCATCCAACTAATCTCTTACCGTCTTATGTACAACAACGTGCCAAAGATATTTGTCAACGTATTGTGAAAGGTATCGATTTGAGATGGAGTCTGTTTAACATTGAATTCTACTATAATCAAGAGAATGATGATCTTAAAATAATTGAAATTAATCCAAGACATGTAGGCCTCTTTGGCGATATGTATGAGTTAGTACATGGACAGAATACATATGAAATTATGCTCGATCTATCTATGGGACAAGCAACATCATTTAGATCAGTAAAGCCCTCTTATTCACATGCTTCGAGTATTATGCTTCACTTGTCCAGCTATAAAAAGGCAACCATTGTGAAACATGTACCGTCGATGGACAATATACAAGCGGTATTGAAGAAATTCCCCATGGTTTCATTAATAACTGTTACGTGCGAAGTTGGAATGCGATTAGATGCAGATGATCGACTAGCTTATGGTTATGGGTATATTAATATAGGTGGAAATAGCATGGAGGAAATAGATAGGAACTTTAAGTTAGCAAAAGAAAATCTGGATTTTGAATTTGAATTTGTGAACGATTAGAATACGCACAAGTTTTGTTTTTCGTTTTTTAACAATTTGACATTCAATATACAACTATTTTCATGACAGTTAAAAGTAGTCGACAAATGTACTAGAAATATACTGCGGCATTAATTTGATTATATTCTGAGGTGTTTGAATAATTAGATTAAGATAGCAAGGAAATCTTACCATGAATCAGAGACCGAAACGAGTCCAAAAACATCTGATTCGAGTCGAGTCGCCGAGCATCTATTCAAAACAATGAGTATTCGAAAACATCTTTTTAATAGCAAGAATAAGTGACAAAACTAACAAACTTCACAAGAATAAGTCAAGAGAAAAAAAACTTGAAACTAGATTAGTCGCTTGTTGTTTTCGATCGAACGCAAAAAATCTAATTATTGACCGTTGAAGGATCGAGATTCGAGCGTCTTTGACAGTAGAAGGTCGCGTACTGCCAGTGAAGGAGATTGAACATATTTGGGTCAAATGGAAGCTCTCACTATAAAACTAACAAATTTAAGATATTACATGTCCATAGCGTACCTAGAGCAAGTTATTTACAGTACCCGACAAAAGTATCCTCCCTCGGATCTTCGGTTCTATGAGACCTAAGCATCTGCAAAATGTGTATGCAGGTAGTACAGAAATAAGGGGAGTGGGTGTGGATGTGGGTATGGATGTGGGTGTGGTTGTAAGCGTGGGGTGTAGGTGTGAGTGTGGGTGTGGGTGTAAGCATGGGGTGTAGGATATGGGTGTGGGTGTGGCTGTCGGTCTGGGTGTGTCAAGTAACCACAATACTAAGTAGTGTTTCGATTTCACGAGAAATATTACCTAATGGCAAGTATCTGCTCCCTTGATTCAAAGACTTTAGAAGTGATGTTAATCGATAGTCGCTGTTCAAGGTGGGTCCGGAAAGGATAGAGTCCGAAAACTGGAGATATTTGGAAGAATCGCGTAGTACTACTCTTCCGCGGTTGTTCATACAAGTTTTAACGTGTGTGGTATTCTCAATAATAGTCGAAAAGGGGAAAGTTACTGATTCGACCGAAAATAGTAAGTTGTCTTATTGAAAAGGGTGCTTTCAGCCTGCCATCTTGTTGGGTCGCAGCATATGTTAATTCATCCGTAAGAAGATGGACTTTTTGGGTCTCGGCGGTCATATGTTGGCAGCTGTCACCTTTTACCTGGCATGTTTTCAAGTTTTCGAAAATAAAAGCGATTACTATGTAAATGGTCTTTGAATAGAATAATGACATCAGGTGTAGAATGAATTTTTCAGACATTTTCGTCTCGTTCAGGACGTGGTAGTTGTAGCATCTACACATATTTTAATCTAGAATAGAAAATGAAAAAGTATTATTTTGATGTATATATGAACGAAAAGATAACGCGAATAAGACAGCAAAAGAATTATTCAGATTTATTGAAGAAATGTGGAAGTTCACTGATTTCAGCAGTTCTTTATGTTGATGATTGTGAAGGAATATTGTCCATTCTAGAGTAAAAGAGTAATTCCAACATAAGAAATAATAAATATAGATGAATGCTTACTTTCTGATCGACTTGATGTTGATTTATGTAATCCTGAACTTTTTAACGACTCCATTCTTCTTTGATAACCGTTGAGAGCTTTGATACGGCTAGAATTTCATGAAAGTCATTGTTTTGCATATCAAGATTTTCATGAAATGTATATGTGATAGCATTTGATATGGATCATTGATCATTTGAAGATTTAAGTGGTCGATGCGAACATATACATAATGGACCATCGATATCGTTAAAGTTAAGGATCTGACCACAATTTTCATCGTGACCAAATGTTGTATTATACCAAGTTTTAAAGAATTCCACAATACTAATCAAATGAATTTTGTTAGCATGTACATGAAAGAAGACACGATAAATTTGATTATATAATAACGTGTGCTTGGAATCACCCCATGTTGGAATACTATCCGATACTTGAAATAGAGTTGAAACTAATCCATCGTTTTGTGGATGTACAAGATCGTTTTCAAGAAAAAGTTTAATAATAGTTTGGATTGAAGATGATTGTTTGATGAGTTCTATTTGAATAACATGTTCATTTGATAATCAAGGATCATCTGAAGTTATTGTGAATCTTTTCGTTTCTTTAATTTCAGCAATTAATTCATCAAATATAGTAGGTGATGTTGCTTCATCAATATGAAAATATTGGTAAGGTTTCATCGGTAGAAAATTTGAGAAAGTTTTTATTTTGTAATGCTTATTTTTTTTTATTATCTCCTATGTATTTCATTAGAAGTTGCTCAGTTGATGATTTAACAATAGCTATGACATTTTGTTGTTGGTAATAATTTGTTAATGTTAATATGACGATACCAAGTAAGATCGCTATAAATGAATTAGACATCCCAAATATCCATTGTATCCACATTGAACTATTACTCATACATACGGAAGTTTCGTAATAACCAGAAACAGGATGAATGTTTGAAAAATAAAGTATAATCCATAAAAGATATGAGTAGATAAAGGATTGATCATTTTTTGGCTCAAATCCAAAAGAGAAATATTTAGTAGGATTTCGAATGGATAATGCTTTTTTTTTGAAAAAGAAAAAAACTCGAATCAATTTTCATTATTATCAATTAAGCTGACTAGATCATCGAGACATTCATACTGTAAAACTGTTCCTCTTTCTCTTCAGATATTGATCACATCAAATTTTGCATTTCATATTTTCATAAGACATTATTTATTATAGGGGTTCTCTTCCTATTTATTTATAAAATATTGTTATTCTTGACGTTTCGATCAATGAAATTGATCTTCTTCAGAAGTTCTCGAACAGTTAAACTGATTAAATACTGATAAAACAAATGTACATAAAAGAGTAAAACATACAAAGCAGATAAAAGATTAAAAGACAATCAGCTGATCAGTCATATATACTTGTCAAATCTATTGTTTCTTTTTCTTTATATATATATATGGGGTTGGCCAGTCTGACCGAATGTCCCAATGCTTTTTTCTATTATTCAGTTTCTATAATATATCAAAAAAATCTAATTTTTTTAATAGTAATAGTACTTGTATAATGCTGATGACCTACCAAGGCTAGAAAGTTTGTGCCTTGTTTCAAACCACAATCATTAAGTGTCTTTAGAATTACCTGTTGGTAAATATCAAAAGACTTTGGAAGATACTCTATTAGTTTCGTCTCAAACAAGAGATAAACTGTTTCTCTTTGACAGATCATCAGCATTATATGAGTACTATAACTAGCAAAAAAAATCAGATATTTCTGACATATTATAGAGACTGATTGGTTAAAAATAGCATTGGGACATTCGGTCAGACTGGCCAACCCCATATATATATACTGGTACAGACAAGACGGTAGAGACTGGAATTCTTTTCTTCTGTATTTAGTTGTCCGTACCAGTATATATATATATATATATATATATATATAATTTATAAAGAAAAGGAAAAAGAAACAATAGATTTGACAAGTATATATGACTGATCAGCTGATTGTCTTTTAGTCTTTTATCTGCTTTGTATGTTTTACTCTTTTATGTACATTTGTTTTATCAGTATTTAATCAGTTTAATTATTCGAGAACTTCTGAAGAAGATCAATGTCATTGATCGAAACGTCAAGAATAACAATATTTTATAAATAAATAGGAAGAGAACCCCTATAATAAATGATGCAGATCGTCTTTGATCGACTCTTCGCTGTTCTATCTTTTCAATAGATGACTAAGCTGAAAAGAAAATAAGAATATACAATATTGTATTAATATTTATCTTGAGGGTGGCTGTGGGTGTTTATCTATTCTTCTGTGACACAGATACCCACACCCCACACCCACATACACTCACCCACACCCACACCCAAACACACCACACCCCACACCCACATACACTCACCCACACCCACACCCAAACACACCACACCCCACACCCACATACACTCACCCACACCCACACCCAAACACACCACACCCCACACACCCACACCCACACCCGCACCCCGCACGATCACACTCGTATTATCGACACATAATTGTATCTTATCTATTTGAAGGTGATTCTCGTCTTTTTTATTATGTCCACTAATCCTGTGGGGCGTGGATGTGGGTGTGAGTATACTTTCAGAAAAGACCCATATCCACACCCCACATCCTTCATCATAAAAAATAATTTCAAATAAGTTTGAATTTTGTTATCTTTTCCAATTTTCGACATTTTCGTTTGTCGACATCGGTGATATCGACAATATGTGCTGTCAACATTCTTCCTTGTCGACGTTTTTCTATGTCGACGTTTTCCTTTGTCGACATTTCTCTGTCAATATTTTCACAGTCGACAATTTTTTGTCGGCAGTTGGCTTCTTTTCTGTACTCCTTCCTCGATCCTTTTCCAGAAAATTTTTCCTGTGGTTAAACTTTGATGAAAAGTATATTTAAGTGTTATACATATCAATCGACTCATTGTTTTTGCTGATTCTAAATATCATACGCATTTTGCTTGAAAACGAACTATTCGGATAGAAATCTCTAAAAACAAGCCCTCTTTACAATGTTTTGCCACTGCTTTTAAAAAAGTTGATTTTCTCAGCAACGGAAAAGTACACAAAAACAGACTCTACTTAAGGGCGCCCCGCCTCAGAAAATCCATTTTTTGGTAAAGTAATTGATGTCGAGTTTTCATCATAGAAAGATGCAGCGAAGTTTCCTCTTTCAGAATATATATAAATTTTTAAAAAAAGGTCAAATTTTTACAGACTTTCGTAGGAGATTTTCACCTCACTACCCGGTTTTCTGAGGGATTTTCGCGGTTTTTCTTATTTTTGGGAAGACTACTTTTTTACTTCTATCAGCATGGAATAAACATTCTTATATCATATAGTACGACCTATAGTGCTAGCTTACGCCATCTACTGCGTGCTTTAAAAAATTTCACATAAATATTATCAATATACCCTTATTTCCTGCATTTGAATGAAAAACTCCATTTCTAAAACTTCTTTAGCGTTTTTCTCAACACATGGTTTCCAGACAGGAAAATTGAAATAACTTCCGCTTGGCTCGGGGTTGTCCCTGATGTTGTTTTTTATTTAAAGGTCTTGACAAGAGCTAACTTTTGATCCGACGAATTTTTGATACTTAACTCCTGGAGTAAGAAAAGTTGGATTTACTGTCATCCGTTGACCATTTTTAGGCCTACTTTGAAAGTAATGTCCACTGAAAAGCTTATAAAAAATGAATAAAAGGGAATTTAAAAATTCTGTCTGATGAAAAGTTGCGCACAGAGGCTAGCTTTAATTTGAAACCAGCCCGACCTCAATACGTCTTATAGTCATGAAGTTACTTCGATTCTTGTGGAAGCTATAAAACAAGCCGAAAGTCCAGTTTAGTAAAGAATATAAGGCTGAAATTTTTACCATTAGAGTTTCTTACTAGTACCACTCATTCCTGAAAGTTTCAGCTCAAACGGACCGTTCTAAGTGGCAAGTCGATTTTGAGGAGGGGGGGTGGAGGGAGCTTAACTTTTTTCTAGACACCAAGAAGCTTACAATGGCATAAAAATACTAGTTTACGCTTCAAGCTTAAAAGAGTTCACGATACGGGTAGGCACCATTACATAGAGGCCACTTCACTTCAAAACATAACATATTCAAATTTTTTGCTTTTGAATACAGCTAAAAATTATTCTTTTTATCAATTTTTCATGAAAAATCAATAAGCAAACTTTCAAAATCTTCTACAGATACAATATAATCGATATTCACATTTATATGAAAATCAGTCACGTTTGAAAATTTATGTTTTGTCGAAGTTTATTTTGATTTTCGCAAGATAACTTTTTCTAGATAAGTCGATATGCTCTATTGACTGGCATTAAAAAAATCTTACGGTAATTTTGCATTGCATGCACCTTAGTAGAAACCTTTTTTCTTCAATGTAAAATTCGAATCTTCAGATTAGTTTTGATAATCAGCGTATTATTTTACTTGAGGTTAATCGATGAAGAAAAAGAAAAATTGTCAAAGTCAGTTTGCATAGTGTTTAGAACTTCATCACACTTTCAAGCTAATTGAACCCTATAAAATCTTCGAGTCTATTGTTAATGTTGCCGTATGTTCAGGTTTTTTTTAGTACCTTCACGATTAAATGAGTGCAAGCGATTAACTTTTAATCTCAATAAAGCTCAGACATCCCATTACGTACAAAAAGAAAATCTGTAGCCTTCACCATTAATTCTAAATGATTAGTTTGATCTTTATTGTTTTACTTGAGTAGAAAGAAAATATTCTTCAAATTTTCTTTTTCCATTCTTTCGATGATATCCTACCAGATGCTTATTGTTGAAGTTGATTTTAAACTTTATTTCAGGTATTCACTGTTAGTCGTCTTTTCTTCTATTGATAAGAAAGATTTGCTTTGTTGGCACTCTTTGTAAGGAGAGCATTTTATTATCTTGAGGTCGCGAACTTTATTAACATTGAATTCATAAGCAAGAACAGAAGCAAACAAAACCTGGCTGACTCTTCTTTTTAAATTAATTTTCGTAGCGTAAACCTTATCAGAGCTGAGCTATCAGATTTATTTTTACTTGAATTGGACTTGAGACATTTTTATTCAACTAATCTAGTTTTGATCTATGGCATATTTGCCATTTCTACAGCAGTCCTCAGACTTCCAAATAATGAAACTTCCTTTATAAATCATCCGATCTCCGAAAATACCGAAATTACTGAAAATTCAGTAAACATACACACAACTATCCATGTAACAAGTAAGGCAATATCCACAAAAGGACCCTGTCGAATTTCACGAACGCTACCGAATGGAAATTTTTATCTAAACGACTTTGCAGAGCAACTCGCACTGTGTCGAACGGTGTATAGGAAATCGCGTTTTCATGAAGGGTGTGGGTGTGGGTGTGGATGAGTGAAGAGAAGATTGACACTCCATACCTTTTTTGCTTGGTAATTTTTAGAAGTCCTTTTAAATTGATTAGAAGCCTTTAAAAATTAGTTTTTTTTGTCAATTATGACATTTTATTTTAGCAACTCGAACTTCCTTTTCCCTTCTTTCATTGTAACGAAACACGCTTTGGGTGCGAAAGAATGCAAAAAAAAGTTTTTTATATGTTGTCTTTCACAGGTGTACAAACTGAATTGATAACTCGTATTTTGTTGAATTATTATCGTCACATAATAATAAAGTCACTCTCGCATTTTTCATCAGGTTGACAAAAAAGGTAAGACAAAAATAAAAATTTTTCTATTTCAGAACAGATTTGTACAAAGGCTAAATAAAAGACTTTCCTCTGAAAAGTGTATGCGGTTGGGTGTAGGCATAAGAGATGGGACCAATTCAGGTTTTTCAAAATCTGAAACGAAAAAGAAGTTTTCTAAAGCTCAAATATGGGTAACTAAATCTATGTAATCTTTATTTCAATTCGTTCGTCTTCTTGCAAACGATTTTCATTCATTTTATATATGTTACAGCCAGAATTAAAGTTTAGGCCTAATTCGTTTTTAATTACAAGCAAAATTATGATATACTATTTTTTATTGAAAAGCAAATTTAAGTTATTTTAGGGTTTACAAAACATACCACTTGCCTGTCTTTTATAACTTGAAAGCTTATTCATTTTCATTTAATCCTGGGACGTGGGCATCCATTTTCTCTTCATCTACACTCACACTCACACTCGCACCCACATCCACACTCACATCCACATCCACATCCACACCCACTCATACCCACTCACACCCACACCGACCCACACCCTAATGATATCTTCCATGGACTTGCACTAGCTATGTAGCTTCAAACAATTGTTACTTTGTTATTGCTGAGATTTTAGTGACTCATACCTATCAATTTTTCAATCTTTGATGAAACCATCTCTCGTTTCCAACAATTATTGAATTAAAATGATCCTAAAGTGTTGTCTGTTGTAGAACTGATAATTAGGGCAACACAGACTCAAAAATAATTGCGATTTTGAAAAAGAGCGAATCAAATATGACATCCCGTTTGTATGCGGACAATTCTAACGTAGCTAATAATTTGCCAGCTATAGATGGTTATTTGGATGTTCCTCAAGTTTCACTAGAAGAAGCTGTCGTCCCCATCCTTGACGTAATTCCAAGCATAGCCTATCACGTTCAATATGCTAAAGAACAATGTTCACATCCGTTAGATGGACTCACTCCCGATGAATCCGGATGCATCCATTTGTATACGCTAGAAAACATCGGTCTTTACAGAAAACTGAATGAGACCATTCAAGATAAACAGAGACGTAAACTAAAACCGTGGTTTCTCTATTTGAAACTTTTTCATATGTCTCTGAATAAATTACCATCGTGTGAAACACAAGTTTGGCGTGGTATTAATAAAGATATTACACAAGGTAACTCCAATCAATTCGAAAAAGGAAAAATATTAACATTATGGCGCATCACATCTTGCACTATGAATATTAAAATAGCCAAAGATTTCATGCATGAAAAGGGGCAAAGTACTTTATTAATGATAAATTGCAAGAATGGCAAACGTATACATAACCATTCAAGTTATTCCAGTGAAGAAGAGTTAATTTTGTTACCTGGTACACGATTGAAAGTTGTCGGAGATCCATTTGAACTAAACGGTCTCCACGTAATCCATTTAGATGAAATGACAAGATATGAAGAAGTGACAAAATTACCGACCATCGCTGGCAGTAAAATCAGTCCACGGAAACTTACGAGCAACATATCGCACGACTACGTATCCCATTTTCCTACTAAGCCAAGAACACCAAAACTCACTTCTTCACATGCAGATGATAATTTATCTACAAACTTTCTGCCACCAATCAATCGAAGCTCACTCATCGGTTTACATTCGAATGCGGCTGTTCTGAAAATGTCGACAGGTTCCAAGTCAACAACAAAGTTCCCTAATGGAGATATATATTACGGACATACAATGAACGGCAAGAAGCAAGGCGAAGGCACATATAAGTGGGCGAATGGTAGTGAATACACCGGTCAATGGAACGTGAACAAATTCCACGGACAAGGGACTCGAATATGGGCATCTGGCGATAAGTATATTGGTCAATGGGTCGATGACAACAAACATGGCCGTGGAACGTACATTTGGTCGAACGGAAATCAGTATGAAGGTGATTGGAAAGATGACATGCAGACAGGAAAAGGTGTTTATAAGTCGAAAGATGGGTATCAGTACGCCGGAGAATATGTAGATGGGCAAAGACATGGTAAGGGTACCTATACTTGGGCTGATGGTTCTACTTATAATGGATACTGGAAGAACGGTAACATGGAAGGAAGAGGCATTCGCATCGACTCTAACGGAAATGTGTACAATGGACAATGGGTGAACGATAAAAAGCATGGTACAGGTACTTTTACATGGACTTCTGGTGACAAATACGAAGGACAATATCAGAATAATATGAAACATGGTCGTGGTAACTTCACGTGGTCGAACGGAGATAAATACAATGGGGAATGGAAAGAGGACCAGAGAACGGGAAAAGGTACTTTCATTTGGGCTGATGGGTCGACATATGTTGGAGATTTCGTATCTGGTGAACGAACTGGAACCGGGGTACAAACATGGACGTCAGGAAACAAATATGAGGGTCAATATCGAAATGGTAAACTGCAAGGTTTCGGTAAATATACTTGGGCTGATGGAACAACACAAGAGGGCCAGTGGCAAAATGGAAAGCAATGCTAAATGTTTAGTGTAACTCTTGTGAACATCACAACATTTTTAGAATCACATGTGCATCCGCTCGTTTCATCGTTACTAAAAATCATTTAAAACGAGTGGTAGTCGAGGAATGCCGTTTTTTCTTGCGAACATTTTGAAATTACAACACCGTGTTGATATAATTATGTTGAAGTTCAGCTTTTCTCATCCTTACAGTGCATATTGTGGTACATGCATTGCATAATCAAATGAAAAGGAATAGGTAGAAGCTTGTTGCATAAACATCATCAAGGATAGCAACTTTTTACATAGTAGAAACAGGCAATATATTTTTCCAGACATCAACAGTAGCTGTTTGAACATTGGCGCTGGCTGCATTATTACTTTGGGTGCATTTATGCACACTCTAAAAAAAAGGATTTTTACCGAACCTAAAAAGGTTCATTCCGCCGGTACACGGAAAGATCCTTTTTTGATTTCGCAAAAAAGGTGGTTTTGTACACAAGCTTTTTCGAAAAAAGATAAAAAAGATTTCGTAATAAAGGTTTTGTACAAAATCTTCTTTCTCAAACTGAAGGAAAGGTTCCACAATCAAGGCTGCGAATAGAACGATTTGAGTCGTTATTCAAAAAGGTTTCGCTATCAAAGTTCCGTATAGAACCATTTGAGTGGTTACTGAAAAAGGGTTTCGTATATTTGCCTTGCAGTTAAACCTATGGCTAACGTCTACCGATACGATACGAAATGAGAAAAATAGCAGAAACACGCTCACCCACCGAGTCACTACGACTCACTTATGCCATTCAGGTGTTAAATAATGTTTTCAATACTCACGAATGAGAATTTTCTCGAGTATAGATGACATCATATAACATTCGAACGACAAGTAACTCGTAGGGACTGGGTGGGCGAGTGTGACACTGCTATTTTTCTCACCCCCCCCCCCCCCCCCCCCCTTCGTTCTCGCCAAAAAAATCTTTCTTTTTCTCCCGGGACACAATCCTAACACAAAGCAGACATTTTTTTATTTTTTTTTAT